CAAGAGAGTCATTGAGATGTACATTTCAGAAATACTCCAACACAACCAAAAGGTTCAAACAACAATCAGGAAGATGATATGTGGGGAATTGGTAGAGCATGAATTTGATGAGATGAGACAAGAGAAGAGAGAAGAAGAAAAGAAAAAGAAAGATGAACAAGAAGAAAAGAAAAAGAAAGATGAACAAGAAGAAAGACAAAAGAAAATAACACGAATCAGAAAGTTACAACAAGAAGAAGAGAAGAAAAAACGCAAAGAATTATTAGAAAAAGAACAAAACAAAGAAAAAGAAGAAGAAAAACGAACCAAAATAGAGAAAACAAGAGACAGAGAAATAGCAATCAAAATGACAGAAGAGTTGAAAAAAATAAAAGCACGTGAAAATCAACAATCTCGTGCTTTTGCTCATTATAAAAATGAAGAACATCAACTCTCATTAAAACTAAAGGATGATGTATTAAAGAAAAGAAGAATCCAAATTGGTGTTCGACTACCAAATGGTGAAATTAAAAAAGCAGTATTTGTCAAAGAAGACCAATTGTTTACTGTTTATAACTTTGTTCAAGGATTTGGATTTGACGGATTTGTTTTTGTAGACGGTCGAACTCACAATGAAATTAATAACTTAGAAGCTACGTTGGATGAACTTCATTTTTGGCCTTCTTTCTATTTGCACGCTGTCTTATTCAATAAGACAGACCCTTCTTACTATCAATAACTTATTCTTTTTCTTTCTTCTTTTATTATTTATTTTGAATCTTTTGGTTTTTGTTGGAAGAGTTGAGAGTAATGTTGAATTGAATAGGTATATACAAAAGGATAGCCTCGAAGTGATGGAGCCAAACAAGTCACACAATTTTCGATATTCATTTTAGTAATTTCTTTATTCATTGCAATTGAATGAAGAAGACCAAGTAATTCATTAAGAAAGTTAAATGTCATAGGAGGAATATCTTTGTAAATTTCATAAAATTGGAGGAATAAGTCATCTTCTTGTAAAGTATCTTTTTGTTTCCATAATTCGTATAATCTGTCATCAATGGACTTTGGAATAACTTGTTCTGGTAATGATTTAATATATAATTTCAATGCTCCAGC